TAATCTTTGCACAATCTATAAAGCACAGGGAAAGTTGTGCCCGGGATGTTGTTGTTGTTGTTGTAGCGGCTACAACAACCCCGCCCAGATCGGTTGGTATCTCAGTCGTTGTCGTCAAGTTCCACTAACGGCAACCCTAGGAAGCGTGCAGCTTCTGTGGGATCTGTCCACAGGGACAAGGCCGTTAGGGTTGTCGGGTTTTCCGGGCATGCGAAGAGATGGTTCGAGTCATGTGGGGTCTCTCCGCATGCCGGACATTCGTTCGGCACATCCTCATTCAACCTACTCAAGTAGGAGTTTAACCTGCTGCAGTAGCCGGAGCGAAGTTGAGCGAGTGTAGTGCGTGTCTCCCGAGGCAGATGAAGCTCTGTCTCGCCTATGTCCGGGGGTGGTATGCCTAGAACGGCATTCACAGGTCTAGAGTCTACATAACTCGAGACTGAGTCCCTGTGAATGCCGTTCAGGGCCTGTCTGTACGCTGCCGGGTCCAGAGGTTGCTTAATGAACCTCTGGACTTCGTCCGTCAGTTCATATAGATGCCTTCTGACGTGCCTAGGCGAGGGCTCCTCTGCAAGCAGCTGTCTGTTTGGGTGGCCACTTCTGTGGCTCCCGATCAGGAACTGCTTGCAGAGCATTATATTATGCTCCTTAACTGGAAGCATATGCGCCTCGCCGTGCAAGTGGTGTTCAGGCGACATCAGGAGGCATCCCGTCGCTGTCCTAAGTGCCGTATTTTGTACCGTCTGTAGCTTCGTCCACTGCGTCCTACTAGTCCCTGGCGACCACACTGGCGCTGCGTAGTTCAAAACCGGCCGGCCTATTGCCTTGTATGTTGCCAGCAACGTTTCTTTGTCTTTGCCCCAAGTACTGCCGGCTAGCGACTTGAGGACCTTGTTGCGGCTCTGTACTTTATTGACAATAGCGGTTGAGTGCGCAGAGAAGGAGAGCAGGCTGTCGAATGTTACTCCGAGTATTTTGGGGTTATTCACCGTCGGAATTGGTGTGTCATCGACGTGAATCCCCAGCGGTAGCCTGACCTCCTTCGTCCAGGTTGTGAACAGGGTCGCGGAGGATTTCGTAGGGGAGAGGGCTAGACACTTTGCAGTGAAGAAGCGAGAAAGTTCGGAGAGATAGCCGTTTACTTTCAAACACAGGTCATCAATTCCATTCCCAGTCGCCATGATCGAGCAGTCGTCGGCATAGGAGACAATCGAGACTTCCTCTGGTGGTTGAGGGAGCTTTGAAATATAAAAGTTAAACAGTAGCGGGGAAAGGACACCACCCTGAGGAACCCCCTGTTTTACTTTTCGCTGCTTACTCGTTTTGTCTCTAAATATTACCGACGAATGTCGACCACTCAGATAATTTGCCGACCACCGTTTGAGCTTCTGTGGGAGAGAGGAGGCCTCTATATCTTCTAGCAGCGTGGAATGGCAGACGGTGTCAAACGCCTTTGACAAGTCCAACGCTACTAGAATCGTTCTCTCACAGGGACGGTTGCGGTTAAGGCCACGAGTTATCTGAGTGTTTATGGCGTTAAGTGCTGTTGTTGTACTGTGCACTTTACGGAAACCATGCTGATGCTTCGCTGGGGTCAGGTGGTTTGTGTAGTACGGGAGTAGCAAGGCCTCGAGTGTCTTCGCTACCGGGGAAAGGAGTGTAATCGGACGATACGAATCTCCTTTGTTGGCGGGTTTCCCCGGTTTGAGCAGTGGGATCACTCTCCCCACCTTCCAGATGTCTGGGATGATGAGAGTGGCCATTGACAGGTTGAGGACCTCCGTTAGGTACGCTACCCCCGCAGGACCCAAATTTTTCAGCATCAGCATGCATATTCCGTCGGGACCCATGGCTTTGGAGGCTTTCGCCTTCCCGATGGCCACCTGAACTTCACCGCAAGTGAAAGCAAGGGGGGCACAAGTTGTTGGCAGTTTGTGCAGCCTTCTGGTCACTCGACGCTTGGCTTTGTCTACCGGAGAATGCAGTATGAACTGCCGGCTAAAATAGCTCGCGCATCGCTCCGGGTCCGACGAAGCATGGTCGCCGAAGGAAATTTCGACTCTGTCGTCGTGCTTCGTCGGATTAGACAATGACCTCACGGTTGACCAAAGCTTGCTCACACCAGAGGTGAAATTACAAGTTTTCAGGTGCTCCTCCCACTTCTTCCGCTTATGTACGTTTACAAGTTGCCGAATCTCCGCGTTGAGATCCCTGATACGGGGATCTCCGGGATCGGCCTGACGAAGGCTATCACGCTCATCATCTAGAACAGCCGCTTCGGCAGGGAAGTTTGGACGTGGGTCCGATATACGTCCTGCCGGTATGAAGCGAGCTGCAGCAGCAGTGATAGCCCTGCGGAACTTACGTTCTCCGAGATGGACGTCGGTTGGTGTGGGGAGCGCTGCGAAGGTGTTTTCAGTAAACTCCGCGTAACCTTTCCAATCAGCTTTGGAAAAGTTGATATAGGTCCGGTGTTTGGCGGAGGCAAAGTCGGTTGGTTTCTCAATCGAGATGACTATGGGTAGATGGTCTGATGCTAGAGTAAGCATAGGTCGCCACGTTATGCTGTTTATCAGACCAGCGCTGACTATTGTAATGTCTGGCGAGCTACTGCAGTTACCCATAATCCTGGTGGGTGCGTCGTCGTTCATTGTGCAGAATGTCGAATCGTCTATCTGCTCAGCCAAGTCTGTTCCCCTACGATCGTTTGACAGGCTTGAGTGCCAAAGATCGTGGTGCGCATTAAAATCACCTACTACCATACGGTTTTCACCTCTGAGGAGCGCACCTATATCAGGGTGATATCCTGCCGGGCAGCAGGTGACAGGGGGTATGTATATGTTAAATATTTCGAGCTCGACATCGCCTGACCGGATAGCGATGCCCTGACATTCTAGGGTGGTATCCCTGCGGTCGATGTCTGCTTCGATAAGACGATACTGCACGGTGTGGTGCGTGATGGACGCTAAGCCACCACCATTATCTCGCTCGCGATCTCGACGGTGCACGTTGTACCCGGCGCAATTCAACAAAGTTGAATTGCTGTGCAACTTCGTCTCTTGGACCGCAGCTATTAATATACCATGCCGACACATGAAGACGGTTATCTCCTCAATCTTGCTCTGTAGCCCGTTACAGTTAAATTGGAGGAGCTTCATGTGGTACGGGAGACGTGTCGTGATGTGGGGTGTGAGTGAGGTGTATGTTCTTGCCGCCGTTGGCTGTGTGTGCTGCTGAGGTGATTGCCGCCCTGTGGTGGTGGTGGGGGGCGTCGCAATTGACGTCTGCGACCGAGCAGCGCAACACGGGCCCTCGAAATTCCCCGTCCAATCTCGCGTGGTACGCAGACCTGAACATGCCCTAAAGTGGCACCAGCCAAGGCAGGTGTTGCACTTGACTGATGTCACATGACGGAATATTCTGGTCTGACATACCGTGCAGATTGTAGGGGGAACCAGGAGTTGTTGGCGGCGGCGTGTGGGTGGTGGTGCGGTTGTGTGTGTTATGTGGTCTGTGGTGGCTGTGGTACGGTCTGTGGTGTTATTATGTTGTTGTGTTGTGGCGACTGTGTGTGGTTGCTGTGTGAGTGTGTGGGGCTGCACGGGCGGACTTTTGTTTGCCGTGGAGGCTGCTCTGTTTGAGCAACAGGGGGCCACGTACGACGTGGTCCACTGTCTGTGCGTCCGTAGTCCCGAGCAGACCCTGAGGTGACTCCACCCCTCGCAGGCATTACACTTGACTGAGGTGGAGTTGTGGTGTAATCGTCTTCGGCATACACAGCAGGTGTATATTTCTGGCCCAGGGTTTGACTCGATGCCAGCCCTGAGTAGGAGAATGCGTAGTGAATGTTGCCCTATGGACGGACAACTTCTGAGATACTTCGCCGACCTAAACGGGGTTAGATCGCAGAAACAACAGCCCTTGGTCGGGTGAAACCCGAGTCATTCCGGTACGTAGAACCGGCTGTCGTGGGATCGTGTTGCACGCTGAGTTTCCAGTTCCACTAAAAGAGAACAATAAACCCCCTGCTGCACAGTGGTTCTAAACTGGCATTTAGTGTTCGTAATTCACTGGAGCCTTCATTTTTTTCACTTAGTTTGATACTTTTTTTATTAAAGCTTGTAATATTTGCAAGAGACCAGTTGAGCCTGATTTGTGAATTTGTATATGATTATAATAATAATAAATAAATAATGTTCCATAACAAAGACTAGTTAAAAACAATTGTGTGGTTCCCCAAAACGAAAAAATTACAAAAAAATTTTGAAATGTTATAAAAAAAGGTTCACAAAAATATTTTTTTTTTGGTTTTTAGTAAAAATTGGTTGAAAAATGAAGACTGCGGTGAATTATGAACATTAAATTCCAGCTTTGAACCGCTGACTTCGGTAAATGTATTTTGGCAGCAAAGGATGACGAAGTCCTTGAAAAGGATTTGGCTTCATTTTCGGGAATCGGTTAATTAACTGGTAAATATTTGATTTAAATTACGATATGGGTAAGGTACTTTTATCATACAAGTTGTATGCACGTATTCCCAAATAATTTTGAAAAAAATATCTTTTATTTTACATTGGTTAACGTCGTTGAAAATTTTTCGCGAAAAGTTTATCGCGATAAGCTGTTGTGAGTGATCGCGAATGGATTATTTGAATGAAAAGCAGCGAAAATTTTTTTGTCGATCGCATTCCGAATGTGAGATATGATAAATTTGTTTGCATTTTTCACTCGCGATAAAAGAATGCAAAAATAGACTTGGAATATTATCGATCGCGATAAATCTCGTAAAAGAATGAAAACGAATAATCATAAATGAGAATTTCCGAACCCTGGTTGAATCCAAGTGTTTTCCTAGTCATTGCAAATATTAATAGTATAATAACAATATTTTGGCGCATGCACCTTTGCCAAGTGTTTGGCTGAGCTTCTTCAATTTGCGGTGTGGGTCTTGATGTTGTGACAAAAAAGCCACGGACCTACAGCTT